AGCACTGTCTGACGCGTCTGCCTCTGCGACCCGAAAGGAGAAGCGGCGATGGAAGATGAAGATGAAGAAGTATATCACTGGCAAGCAATTGAAAAAGTCGGCTATGTTCTTAAGGCGCTGACCAAAAACTGTATTAATTGAAAATGCTATGAAAAAATTGTTTACGTTAATAACATCAATCTGATTATCCAAAAATCGCTAATCAAAAGTACCCCTTTGCAGACCAGCATTCTGATGGGCAAGCTATGCAATTACTGCGACTCTTAATATACTACTATTACAGACGGAGACAATTCGTGCAACTATGCTACAAAATGTCATTTTGCTAAGAGCATAGAACACCGACCTTATCGCGATGAATGATCGTACAAAACTAGTAAAACAGCATAAAACACGATTTATTAATAAACAAGGCAAAACATATGGTCAATTGGATCACTGAAAACTACCGAAATTTCTGTCTGAGTCTCACGAGCCTTCTTTGTGGTAGAAGGTTAGTAGAGTTTTGGAGGTTTTTCTTGCTGTACGCAGCCGTTGGTAAGTTTGGAGCCAGAATCTTATTTCTTATTATTTATCTTGTGCATAAATAAACCATGTTTAATGTTTTTCAGTATAAACACCACCGTACGAAAGAAATATCAAAGAAACTAGAAATGCTTAAACACCACATCGGCTGAAATAGGGGAAAGCATATCATTTTACGCCGTACGAGTCTAAAAATCTGCGAATTTAAATGTGACAGGATCCTCTTTTTCAGCGTATTGTAACTGATGAGTTACTCAGATTAATTACGACATACAGTAAAACGACACACTGCTCATTCAAAGAAAACACACCCAGCGCGTCTTAACATCAAACACAGCAAGGCTTTCCTGTTGCGACGAGGGGACAACGACCAGAGTATTAACTATGAAATATATAAGGAAACTATCAGAGTAGGGGATTTTTCTGATCCTTAAGGATGTGACACACTCCGAAAAGACCGAGTTAAACACTGAAGGATTGCACTGTTCTTGTACTAAAGAAAAATCACTCTTTGAGAAGGCACCTTTGACAACAAACTACATGGAGAACGGGCGGAAACATCTATAATCATTCAAGAAAGAAGCACCATAAAATCACTTCATTATATCTTCTTCCCTTTAAATTGAGTATAATATCTCATAATTCCGCCGCTGCCTGTCCAAGGATGTATGAGAAAAAAGGAGTATTGGAGACGGCGATGAAATCTCCGCAAAACCTATCCACTTGCTAGTCATGGTATTTCCGTCAGCGAAGATTATACCGGCTGTCGACCCAGGGTGACCAAGGGCCGCGCAGGCTGCGAAAAATCAGAAACAGATCATCGCCTTCTAACAACCGGGGGCGTAGCAAAATGACAATGGATGCCGAAGATCGACAAAACGACGACAAAGATATTAATCGGCAAAGGAGATGACAGTGGAAGCTTACAGTCGGAAACATATTTTTACTCAGAGGAAAAGAGCAGAAGCCCAATGATGATGACCCTTGAGGTAACTCGGAACAGTTAGATTCTCATCAGCAAAGCACCATGGCTTTGGCATTTCGAACTTATGCGAGTGGAAGTGATTCTACTCAGTTGTCAACATCACAACGCACGCTCACGCCGGTGCTTTTGTTCTAGAAGAACCAAACTCGGCTAACAGAGTCAATGAATGGAAGCCACGCAGCGGAAGATAAGCAATGCTCGCACCTAACCTACAAGAGGCTAAATCGTTGACCTTGTTAGAAATATATACGTCCAATTTCGAGAAAGAATATGATCCCTTCCTTGACGAAGTGGTGCATGCTGCGTACAAAGTGATGGATACGAAATCCCTAATTCTCATGGGCGATTTTAATGTGCATATCCGAGTAGACGATGAAAAGTGAAAAGCGTGATTAGAATAAACGGCCCTGCGGCGATCAACAATAAGGATATGAAGTTGTTGTGGTTTTGCGCAAAGAACGGACTGTCCATTATGAACACCTTCTTCGAGCACTGATAAAGGCATCGGTATACCTGGTACCGGGAAGCCTGTGCACAGAAGTTGATGATCGATTTGATAAACGTATCTTCTGAGTTAAGACGTTCAGTATTGGATATACGCGTTAAGAGAGGCGCAGAACTATCAACCGATCATCATCTTGTTGTTGGCAAGCTGCGCTGTAAGAAATGGAGTACCATACGAAGATCTCGTGGCAGAAGCAACCAGAGGGTCAAATGGGAAACATTATCTTCGGTGAACACGAGAGCGAAATTTGCAAACAACATTGCACGACCGTTTGAACAGGTCCCGGTAATGATAAATGATGTTGAAACCGAGTGGCAGCTGTTTAAGAGCGGCATACTCGAGACTGCCGCTGAATGCTGCGAATTAAAACGGGTTGGCCTGTCACCTTGAGGTAAAAATAAAACCTTCTGGGTGGACACGAGAGCTACAACTAGCAGTTAAAGAGAAGAAAGCAGCGTTCAAGAAATTGCTTGGAAACAAAGAGACTTCTACTCGCGTGCGATATGTCGAGGCACGCAAAGCCGCAGCGAAAGCAGTGGCGAAAGTCAATGCTGATTCCTGGGAGAAGCTGGTGCGGTGCTGGAGTCGAATTTCCATACGGCAAACAAAGTATACTGGCGGCCGTCCGCCGGCTCCGAGTTGAAAAGAAGGGCAATCTCAGAGTCTTGAAGGACAGATCTGGACACCCTCTTATCAAGGATGATGACATTCTTCGGCAATGGAGGGTGTACTTTGAAGAACTCGTTAACTGAGTCCTGGTTACTCCTGAGCAACCGCAGGAAGTCTGCAGGGTAGCATGGAACGGATATTACCATCTTTGTAGATTAAATTAAATAAGCTGTGAAAAGCTTGAAAAATGGAATAGTTGCTGGAATTGATGAAATTCGCCCTGAAATGCTCAAGGCATTAGTCGAGCAAGGCCGTGTAACGCTTACTGGTGATGGAAAATTTTTCTAAGACATACCGGCGCATCTGCGTAGTTAGTGACGTTTAGCGTGAACTAGTCCGAACGATTGTGACTAAAACAGGATTGAGACAGAAATATAAACTCTCTGTGTTAAAGTCGATCTTTATTCCGATGCCTACCCACAGTCATGAGTCAGTGGCCATGACTGAAAAAATTTGATCCCGGGTACAAGTGGCTGCAATGGGCTTTCTGAGACGAGTAACTAGCCTTACGTGTCCAGAAAGGAAGGCGAAGCAAACATTTCTTTCCCAGGTGAATGCCAGAATTCCCCGGGGGATGACCAAGATCAACCTGGTGCAAATATGTGGAAGAAATGTACTCTTGGCTCTGGTTGTTTTTCGCTGAAGTTCAATCTCTGGTACAGATCAGGAACAGTGGAAGCACTGCCTGACGTGTCTGCCTCCGCGACTCGAAAGGAGAAGCGGTCAAGGAAGATAAAGAAAACAGCTCAAGAAAGAAACATGCAAAGATGGATAAAATAAGGAACTGCAAAGAAGAAAGGACTATCCGGCCCTGATAATGCCGCGGTCTGCACAGTGAAACGAGTTGGCATTAAACTGTTTACATCTGTTGCATTTGGTGCCCCGAACCATGAAACATTTAAATAACCATGAACAAAACAGTGGAAAATTTAACATAATGCTGCTTCGCTTTGAACAGAGGATAATACTCATAATAATGGAACCGCCAGTGAACTGTAACTAGATTAAAACCTTAACATCAATTTATTTATCAATAAAATCTTGCTTACTTAGTTTCCATTATTGCACTAAAAACCATAATAAATTACCGGACACGCTTATTGACGATAATGCCTAGGCCGTGCGGAGTAACATTATAGACTCGACCAGTCTTTCCGTGGTAAAATTTGTGAGGCATGCCTTTCTGGAAAGCTCCGTTTCCCTAAAACATTTAGTGTTATGGAGGCAAAGGTTCAATGATGAGACTTGACACCTTTATATCAACTAGATCGCCGATCTTGTAAACACGAAGAAACGTAGATAATGGTTCTGTACCATGTTTGCGAAATGGCCGTCGAAAGATGTACCTGGTACCATGCCGCAAACCTTTGCTGTGAACCATATTTCAATATCTTATCACCTAAAAATACAGTTTAAAGAACTTTATTACGTATAAGCATTAACACTGTAAGCAAAATACCTCAGAAAATAGTTAACGTATGCTAAAGAAACAGTCTAAAAAATGATTCGCTTTTAGTTATAAACAAAAATGATACTAATATTTAGATCTATAGAGTATTAACAAGTCAAGTACATAGAGTTTAACTACAATTAACTTCATTGAACCGTCAAGTACGGTAAGAAAAAGAAAAAATGGACTATTAGAGGCAATCGGCTACCTCTTACGATTCGACGGGATAGCAGCATGGAAGACAATAAAACAATCTTATTTAACAATTATCAATATTTCGAATGAATTGGTACCAGCCATTTTTAAGTAAAGCATGATCGATATCTAATCGATCATAAAGTGCGTTGTTTCTTTAAAGGCTTTTATTGTTGTTAGAAATGAAATCAGCAGAAACATCTACTTTCAGCCAAAAACGGCAGAGTATTGCTACGAATTTAAAAAGGCATTGCTACGAATTAGGCATTTAAAAATTTTAGCTTGAACATTAATTAATTCTGACATAGGCGGGCGGTGACTGAAACTCACACCGCTTCAAGTCTCATACCAACCAAAAAACACCTAAAGATTTAAAATAACATGAACAAAATGGAATAACCGATTAACAAAAATTTTCTAAATAAAAACAACAATCCCACCAAGGGATGATTTCAATAATCAAATTGCCAAATTATACTGATACCTCGCGTTGTGGAGCAACTATAACCAGTCTAATGTATAGCCCACAAATAAAATAACTAAAGCACACCAGGTTGAAGACCGAAATCATACTAAAAGTTACTTTCTACCATTCAAAAAGAATATCAGGCTTTGAAAACAAATGAAACAAAACAGTGTTAACCTCCAGTAAAATGCGATGAAACTGTGGTGACAGAATCTTTGAAATCATCGCCTGGCTTGAAACTTCACAAGGATGACATGTACAGCATAATTCAATAACCTAATGGTCCTCCTTTAAATGTGCCTAAGACCATGAATATGTCCGCGTAATGAGGAACCTACGAACTAATAGCTCTTTAACTGAAATCTCTGCATGTTAACAATAGTTTAATAACAAGAATTCTAATGGCTAAATATTTGCTACCTTTTCCTCGGACTAACATAACCTGGCAAGCACATATAACAGGACATGTGACAAGACGTTTCTACGCTTCCTTTTACGTAAAATGATTGAGTCTTTCATGTACCACGTAATGTTACCAGACGGTTTGTATCAACGCATGCATTCTACTAGTCTATGCTTATGCAACAGTGTTCATTTTTTCCAGAACTGCAACCTGGTGAGATCAGACCGCTTTTTGAACCAGATCTCTAGAATGACTGTAATTCCACATAATGATCAGTTTAGATGCAGAGTAGATTTTGCGATTTGGGAAGGCAAACGCCTAAAGATATCCTTGACTATAATAATCTACTGTACGCTAAACTCTTACAATTCCTCTCAAAGCATCTCATTTGCTAAAT